GCCTGGCGTGACTCACCTCAGTGCATCCTGGGAGCCCCACAGCTTGACATGACTCGGCGCAATGCATGCTGGGAGCCCAGCAGCTCGGTCCATCTGGCGGCCGTGTGCCTTGGGAGTTGCACAGGGCCGGCTGAGCCCCATTGGCGGGGTCGCTGCGCGTGTAACTCTCTCTCCCCTTGTTTCCCCAGACGATGACCCACGGATGGGTCCCCCACCCTGGCAGCCGGGAGCGGCGGTGACCTCGAGCCCTGGCGCTGCCCTTCCTAGGGGGGGACATGGGCTGGAGCCGCCGCCCATGGCTGGGCTCCCCCCGCTGCACGGCCCCAACCCCTGACTGGAGGCAGGAGGTGCCCCACAGAATGCCCTGGGCTGCTCGGGATCAGGGGCTGGTCAGCTTCACGGGCGCGGCCCTGCCATGGTGAGCATACGGGGGGCTGCTGAGATTGAAAGAGCTGGGACGGGGGGCTGGGACCCCCTGCTTTTAACTCTCTCCTCCTGTTTCAGCACCCACCAGCCGCCCCACACAGCATCGCTGGTCCTCAAACGCCACCTGGAGAAGGAGGAGCAGTGAGTATGGGGGGGGTGACATCAATGGGGGAGGTCTGGGGGTCCCCCCCTTATATTGGCCTTCATCCCCCTTCCTGGTTAAACCCCACCTGGCTCCTCACCACAGCCTAGCCACAGTGCATGCTGGAGGATCCCTAGTTTGGCAGGACTGAGAGTGGAACTTCCTGAGAGCTCCCCCAGTTGGCATGAGTGGGGACAGTGCATGCTGAGAGGCCGGGGGCTTGGCAGAACTGGGGGCAGTGCATGCTGGGAGTCCCTTTTCTTGGCGTAATTCAGTGCAGTGCATTCTGGGAGGTTCCTGGCCTCATGTGACTAGGCGGAGTGCAGCCCAGGAGACCTGTTACCAGCTTTGCGTTACTTTGGGGTACGCTCATTTATTAGGGTCACCCTTCTGGGGCGGGCTCTGTACTGCGTGTGTCACTTGTGTTCTCCTATGGAGCGCTGCTTCTCCCTGCTGCAAGTCCCCTCCCAAGGGGGCTATCCTGCAGGACCTAGGTTCCCCAGGGCTGGGTTCCTCCAGCCCCAGAAGCTCTCTCTCTCACGCACACCCCGACTGGATTAACCAGCACTCCCAAACTGACCCCTTATATGCCCCTGGGCTCAGTCGTCTGGGTCGAGCAGCACTTCCAAGCTGCCACCCTCGGATGCCCCAGATTCAGCACGTCTCCATCCCCACTTTCACATCACAACTGTTCTGGTCGTAACCCACTGGATGAGCAAACCCCCCAGGGTTTTGGGGCGCTGCAGGGATCTTTAGCTGAGGTACGAGGAGTGTTGCTGCAGAGCCAATGAGGAAACCAAAAAACCCCCAGGAGGGGGAGACAGAGAGAGAGAGAAGCAACCAGCTTAACCATGAAAGTTATTTATTGCCAGGTAAGAACCACGGGGGAGCCAAACAAAACAGTGATCATATTAAATCAAACTTACATTTGATTAAAACAACGAGGAGGCCAGTGGCACGTTAAAGACTAACCGATTTCTTTGGGCATAAGCTTTCGTGGGTAAAAACCCCACTTCTTCAGCTGCCTGGAGTGAGAATTACAGATGCTGGCATTATTATAATAGGATGAGTATAAGAATGCCTTCATCTGGAATTCTCACTCCAGGCATCCGAAGAAGTGGGGTTTTTACCCACGAAAGCTTATGCCCAAAGAAATCGGTTAGTCTTTAACGTGCCACTGGCCTCCTCGTTGTTTTAATCAAATGTAAGTTTGATTTAATATGATCACTGTTTTGTTTGGCTCCCCCGTGGTTTGCAAATAGCAATGGAGCCCTTTCATAGTTAAGCGGCTTATGTTTCGTAGGCTCTGCTGCCCTCAC